CAACATTAACAATACATTATCATGTTATAGTCAACATTAACAATACATTATCATGTTATAGTCAACATTAACAATCCATTATCATGTTATAGTCAACATTAACAATACATTATCATGTTATAGTCAACATTATCAATGCATTATGGTGTTATAGTCAACATTATCAGTACATTATCATGTTATAGTCAACATTATCAATACATTATCATGTTATAGTCAACATTATCAATGCATTATGGTGTTATAGTCAACATTATCAGTACATTATCATGTTATAGTCAACATTATCAATCCATTATCATGTTATAGTCAACATTATCAATCCATTTTCATGTTATAGTCAACATTATCAATGCATTGTGATGTTATAGTCAACATTATCAATGCATTGTGATGTTATAGTCAACATTATCAATGCATTGTGATGTTATAGTCAACATCATCAATCCATTATCATGTTATAGTCAACATTAACGATACATTATCATGTTATAGTCAACATTATCAATGCATTGTGATGTTATAGTCAACATTATCAGTACATTATCATGTTATAGTCAACATTATCAATCCATTATCATGTTATAGTCAACATCATCAATGCATTGTGATGTTATAGTCAACATTATCAATCCATTATCATGTTATAGTCAACATTATCAATGCATTATGTACATTTCATGTTATAGTCAACATTATCATTGTGATGTTAAGTCAACATTATCATTTTCATGTTATAGTCAACATTATCAATGCATTGTGATGTTATAGTCAACATTATCAATGCATTTTCATGTTATAGTCAACATTATCAATGCATTGTGATGTAATAGTCAACATTATCAATGCATTGTGATGTTATAGTCAGCATTATCAATGCATTGTAATGTTATAGTCAACATTATCAATACATTATCATGTTATAGTCTACATTATCAATGCATTTTCATGTTATAGTCAACATTAACAATACATTATGCATTGTGATTATAGTCAACATTAACAATCCATTATCATGTTATAGTCAACATTATCAATGCATTGTGTGATGTAATAGTCAACATTATCAATGCATTGTGATGTTATAGTCAACATTATCAATGCATTGTGATGTTATAGTCAACATTATCAATGCATTGTGATGTAATAGTTAACATTATCAATGCATTGTGATGTTATAGTCAACATTATCAATGCATTGTAATGTAAAAGTCAACATTATCAATGCATTGTGATGTTATAGTCAACATTATCAATGCATTGTGATGTAATAGTCAACATTAACAATGCATTATCATGTTATAGTCAACATTATCAATGCATTGTGATGTTATAGTCAACATTATCAATGCATTGTGATGTAATAGTCAACATTATCAATGCATTGTGATGTTATAGTTAACATTATCAATGCATTGTGATGTTATAGTCAACATTATCAATGCATTGTGATGTTATAGTCAACATTATCAATGCATTGTGATGTTATAGTCAACATTATCAATGCATTGTGATGTTATAGTCAACATTATCAATGCATTGTGATGTAATAGTCAACATTATCAATGCATTGTGATGTAATAGTCAACATTATCAATGCATTTGTGATGTCAACATTAACAATACATTATAGTCAACATTATCAATGCATTGTGATGTTATAGTTAACATTATCAATGCATTGTGATGTTATAGTCAACATTATCAATGCATTGTGATGTAATAGTCAACATTATCAATGCATTGTGATGTTATAGTCAACATTATCAATGCATTTTCATGTTATAGTCAACATTATCAATGCATTGTGATGTTATAGTCAACATTATCAATGCATTGTGATGTAATAGTCAACATTATCAATGCATTGTGATGTTATAGTCAACATTATCAATGCATTGTGATGTAATAGTCAACATTATCAATGCATTGTGATGTTATAGTCAACATTATCAATGCATTGTGATGTTAAAGTCAACATTAACAATACATTATCATGTTATAGTCAACATTATCAATGCATTGTGATGTAATAGTCAACATTATCAATGCATTGTGATGTTATAGGCAACATTATCAATGCATTGTGATGTTATAGTCAACATTATCAATGCATTGTGATGTAATAGTTAACATTATCAATGCATTGTGATGTTATAGTCAACATTATCAATGCATTGTGATGTAATAGTCAACATTATCAATGCATTGTGATGTTATAGGCAACATTATCAATGCATTGTGATGTTATAGTCAACATTAACAATCCATTATCATGTTATAGTCAACATTAACAATCCATTATCATGTTATAGTCAACATTATCAATGCATTGTGATGTAATAGTCAACATTATCAATGCATTGTGATGTTATAGGCAACATTATCAATGCATTGTGATGTTATAGTCAACATTATCAATGCATTGTGATGTAATAGTCAACATTATCAATGCATTGTGATGTAATAGTCAACATTATCAATGCATTGTGATGTAATAATCAACATTATCAATGCATTGTGATGTTATAGTCAACATTATCAATGCATTGTGATGTAATAGTCAACATTAACAATACATTATCATGTTATAGTCAACATTAACAATACATTATCATGTTATAGTCAACATTATCAATGCATTGTGATGTTATAGTTAACATTATCAATGCATTGTGATGTAATAGTCAACATTATCAATGCATTGTGATGTTATAGGTAACATTATCAATGCATTGTGATGTTATAGTCAACATAATCAATGCATTGTGATGTAATAGTCAACATTATATCAATGCATTGTGATGTAATAGTCAACATTATCAATGCATTGTGATGTTAAAGTCAACATTAACAATACATTATCATGTTATAGTCAACATTAACAATACATTATCATGTTATAGTCAACATTAACAATACATTATCATGTTATAGTCAACATTATCAATGCATTATCATGTTATAGTCAACATTATCAATGCATTGTGATGTAATAGTCAACATTATCAATGCATTGTGATGTTATAGTCAACATTATCAATGCATTGTGATGTTATAGTCAACATTATCAATGCATTGTGATGTTATAGTCAACATTATCAATGCATTGTGATGTAATAGTCAACATTATCAATGCATTGTGATGTTATAGTCAACATTATCAATGCATTGTGATGTTATAGTCAACATTATCAATGCATTGTGATGTTATAGTCAACATTATCAATGCATTGTGATGTTATAGTCAACATTAACAATACATTTTCATGTTCTAGTCAACATTATCAATGCATTGTGATGTTATAGTCAACATTATCAATGCATTGTGATGTAATAGTCAACATTATCAATGCATTGTGATGTTATAGGTAACATTATCAATGCATTGTGATGTTATAGTCAACATTATCAATGCATTGTGATGTAATAGTCAACATTATCAATGCATTGTGATGTAATAGTCAACATTATCAATGCATTGTGATGTAATAATCAACATTATCAATGCATTGTGATGTTATAGTCAACATTATCAATGCATTGTGATGTTAAAGTCAACATTAACAATACATTATCATGTTATAGTCAACATTAACAATACATTATCATGTTATAGTCAACATTAACAATACATTATCATGTTATAGTCAACATTATCAATGCATTATCATGTTATAGTCAACATTATCAATGCATTGTGATGTAATAGTCAACATTATCAATGCATTGTGATGTTATAGTCAACATTATCAATGCATTGTGATGTTATAGTCAACATTATCAATGCATTGTGATGTAATAGTTATAGTCAACATTATCAATGCATTGTGATGTTATAGTCAACATTATCAATGCATTGTGATGTAATAGTCAACATTATCAATGCATTGTGATGTTATAGTCAACATTAACAATACATTATCATGTTATAGTCAACATTAACAATACATTATCATGTTATAGTCAACATTAACAATACATTATCATGTTATAGTCAACATTATCAATGCATTGTGATGTTATAGTCAACATTATCAATGCATTTTCATGTTATAGTCAACATTATCAATGCATTGTGATGTTATAGTCAACATTATCAATGCATTGTGATGTTATAGTCAACATTATCAATGTATTGTGATGTAATAGACAACATTATCAATGCATTGTGATGTTATAGTCAACATTATCAATGCATTGTGATGTTATAGTCAACATTATCAATGCATTTTCATGTTATAGTCAACATTAACAATACATTGTGATGTTATAGTCAACATTATCAATACATTATCATGTTATAGTTCTCATTATCAATGCATTGTGATGTTATAGTTCTCATTATTAATTTTCAGTTCAGAATAACATATGGAAGTAAATGATAAATCCGTCCTTCTAGACTCCTTCAGTGATGATGAACCTAAAGTATGGAAGTCTGATAGGGGAATCTAATTATCTTATGAAAATATTGATACACCAGTGATATATTTCAATTACCAAAACCAGGTAGGCAGGTGCACTTACCCTCAAATTATATACATGTACTATTTTCTTGTCCGTACTGTCGTTGAATGATTTCCAAGACACCATGTATATATTGATATTCCGAGCCGTGTGACTATTTGAACAGATTAAGGCAATTTATGGCAAACATCTTGGACTACAAGTCAGCCGGTAGTGTCTACTATACTGAAGACTTTACAAAAGATATAAGATGGATTTAACCACATCTCCTCATACTGATCATTGCCTTTAATTGTAAAACCAAGAGGGCGGTCGAGGAAAATTCAAAATGATCAAGATAGAGATCATTAGTTAAAAGAGTAAATGAATTATATACCAATCTTGATATTTCAGGAGAAATACGAAGTGTTCATTATCACGATCAGGAGGGATTTACTTTGTGATGGAATTTATGTTTCGTTGTTATAACGGATGACAAGGTGATTCCTAATGGCAAAGATTAATTCAGTGATTGTGATAAATATTATTTAAAAATGACAACCACGAATGTAATGGTTGCTACCAATACTACTTCCCAATCCTCTGACCAGGTGAATATAACATGGGACGACGCTACCTGGATACTGACCAGCTCCTTCATCATATTCACCATGCAGTCGGGTATGTATAGTCAGAAGGTAGATATGACCAGGAATAGTTTAAAAACATTAAACCCTGTAGTCATCTCATCCTTCAGTGCATGTCCAACATTTATATAAACTAACTAGTCAATTTTTGTTTTTTAATTTTACAGTATTGATATGACGATGTCATTTTAAACATGTTAATATAAAGAAACTTCCGTGAGATTGGTGGAAACTGTAAGTTTACAACTCTATGTCTAGAGAGAATCTGTATAGTTGATACCATTGTAAATATGCTGCAAAGTAAAGATGTGGAGAAATATTAATGGAAATATTTAATTTACAACATTTAAATACTTGTTTCTTTTTATCGATGTAGCATTCATAACTATCGCATTCTTGTATATAAATCATTGTCTGACTACCGATACATACACGGGTCGCTAAAAGTTTTATGTTTTTATACAAGAAGGAGTTCTGACTATCGACCTCGACCATGTTTAGTTTAAACATATCTTATTTGACCAAAAATCAAATGGAATTGGACACAAGTTAAACAACTTAGGAACGACCTCTTCCATTAACAATTAAACAAGGTTACATACATATATGGCAGCATTGCATCAGACATTGAATCATTGAACCAAGACAAACATTATGTATACTCAGAACGTTCGAAATAAAATAAATAAACAAGAAATAGAAGAAAAACATGTTGACTTAATCTTTAAAATCATAAATACTGATTATTGTTAGGAATCTACTGTCGACATTACTTTACAAGAATGCACATAGCGTTGCTATTTATAGATTGTTTAATGTCGATTACAAAACCAACAATGTTATTGGATGAGTCTATACCCATATATCATAGTAACAATATACCTGTTTCACGAAGATGGATGTGACAAGGTGATAATAGGCACATGGCTAAAACAGGTCGGCAAACAAAGGATCCAGCATCCATACCTCAGTCTGAAAAGCGACATCAAGCTTTTAAAGCTAAATATAAAAACATATGATTGCTTCAATTAAAGATAGTTATTTTCATCGAAGTTATCCATTTTCTTAGTCATTGAAGGTCATGCTGTCCGCAAATCACACGCCCTATCCTTAACATTTTACATCCTCCGTAATTAAGCAGTAAAATGTTTCAGCTGATGTTATATTTGATTAGAACATTTGAAAACTGCCCAGAGGTATGTAACACCGGTAATATACAAAACTCATGTGGTTTTAACTACTCTCAAAGTAGATCCGTGTTCACTTTCTTAAAGTGATATATCGCATGCGTAAGTAGAGCCCGTAAGTGAGGTGTTTTTCGGTGTTTCAGGGACCTTTGTTAGGTATGACAGACAAGTGAGGTACTTGTGGTGTTTCAGGGACCTTTGTTAGGTATGACAGACAAGTGAGGTATTTGTGGTGTTTCAGGGACCTTTGTTAGGTATGCCAGACAAATGAGGTATTTGTGGTGTTTCAGGGACCTTTGTTAGGTATGACAGACAAGTGAGGTATTTGTGGTGTTTCAGGGACCTTTGTTAGGTATGACAGACAAGTGAGGTATTTGTGGTGTTTCAGGGACCTTTGTTAGGTATGCCAGACAAGTGAGGTATTTGTGGTGTTTCAGGGACCTTTGTTAGGTATGGCAGACAAGAGAGGTATTTTGTGGTGTTTCAGGGACCTTTGTTAGGTATGGCAGACAAGTGAGGTATTTTGTGGTGTTTTAGAGACTTTTGTTTGGTATGGCAGACAAGTGAGGTATTTTGTGGTGTTTTAGAGACTTTTGTTTGGTATGGCAGACAAGTGAGGTATTTTGTGATGTTTTAGAGACTTTTGTTTGGTATGGCAGACAAGTGAGGTATTTTGTGATGTTTTAGAGACTTTTGTTTGGTATGGCAGACAAGTGAGGTATTTTGTGATGTTTTAGAGACTTTTGTTTGGTATGGCAGACAAGTGGGGTATTTTGTGGTGTTTTAGAGACTTTTGTTTGGTATGGTAGACAAGTGAGGTATTTTGTGGTGTTTAAGAGATTTCATTTGGGTATGACACACAAGTGAGGTATTTGTGGTGTTTTAGAGACTTTTGTTGTGTATGGCAGACAAGTGAGGTATTTTGTGATGTTTGAGAAACATTTTGGTGGTATGGTCGACAAGTGAGGTATTTTGTGGTGTTAAAGGAACATTTGCGATCGGATTAGTAAAGTTTGTTAATTATCTGTCTACATAAATATAACAAAAAGACCAAAACTTGGAACATACCTTCTACCGATGTTACCATACCGGCTTTCTAGAACGTAACCTACCCTGACTATATCCGGATTGTGCAATGTGACTGTAACCGGAATATAAAATACGAGCGTATTCTTAATGTAAAATATACGTGTATCTAGAAAGTATATAAAACTGTATTCATCATGTGAAATGTCAACGTATCCACAATGTTTATAACCTACAAGAAACATTGATGAAAAGCTAATACCGCGTCTAGTAGAATGCCACGGTTAGTACACAGGAGTAAACAAAACTGTTATGTGATCAATATTTATAAAGATTGATCGTCTGATTAAATTACATAATACGACGCAGACAACAAACATGGACGAGATGGCGAAGTTGCTTTTACAAGAGCATGAATGATATATCCAAAATGTCTTTCATATGTAGACAGAAAGCTATACCCCAAAAGTCTATCTTATGTAGACAGAAAGATATACCCCAAAAGTCTATCTTATGTTGACAGAAGGATACACCCCAAATGTCTATCTTATGTAGACAGAAGGATATACCCCAAAATTCTATCTTATGTTGACAGAAGGATATATCCCTAATGTCTATCATATGTAGACAGAAAGATATACCCCAAAAGTCTATCTTATGTTGACAGAAGGATATATCCCTAATGTCTATCATATGTAGACAGAAGGATATATCCCTAATGTCTGTCATATGTAGACAGAAGGATACACCCCAAATGTCTATCTTATGTAGACAGAAGGATATACCCCAAAAGTCTATCTTATGTAGACAGAAGGATATATCCCTAATGTCTGTCATATGTAGACAGAAGGATATATCCCTAATGTCTGTCATATGTAGACAGAAGGATATATCCCTAATGTCTGTCATATGTTGACAGAAGGATATATCCCTAATGTCTGTCATATGTAGACAGAAGGATACACCCCAAATGTCTATCTTATGTAGACAGAAGGATATACCCCAAAAGTCTATCTTATGTAGACAGAAGGATATATCCCTAATGTCTGTCATATGTAGACAGAAGGATATATCCCTAATGTCTGTCATATGTAGACAGAAGGATATATCCCTAATGTCTGTCATATGTTGACAGAAGGATATATCCCTAATGTCTGTCATATGTAGACAGAAGGATATATCCCTAATGTCTGTCATATGTTGACAGAAGGATATATCCCTAATGTCTGTCATATGTAGACAGAAGGATATATCCCTAATGTCTGTCATATGTAGACAGAAGGATATATCCCAAATGTCTATCATATGTAGACAGAAGGATATATCCCTAATGTCTGTCATATGTAGACAGAAGGATATATCCCTAATGTCTGTCATATGTTGACAGAAGGATATATCCCTAATGTCTGTCATATGTTGACAGAAGGATATATCCCTAATGTCTATCATATGAAGACAGAAGGATATATCCCTAATGTCTATCATATGTAGACAGAAGGATATATCCCTAATGTCTGTCATATGTAGACAGAAGGATATATCCCTAATGTCTGTCATATGTAGACAGAAGGATATATCCCTAATGTCTGTCATATGTTGACAGAAGGATATATCCCTAATGTCTGTCATATGTAGACAGAAGGATATATCCCTAATGTCTGTCATATGTTGACAGAAGGATATATCCCTAATGTCTGTCATATGTAGACAGAATGATATATCCCTAATGTCTGTCATATGTTGACAGAAGGATATATCCCTAATGTCTGTCATATGTAGACAGAAGGATATATCCCTAATGTCTGTCATATGTAGACAGAAGGATACACCCCAAATGTCTATCTTATGTAGACAGAAGGATATATCCCTAATGTCTGTCATATGTAGACAGAAGGATATATCCCTAATGTCTGTCATATGTAGACAGAAGGATACACCCCAAATGTCTATCTTATGTAGACAGAAGGATATATCCCTAATGTCTGTCATATGTAGACAGAAGGATATATCCCTAATGTCTGTCATATGTAGACAGAAGGATATATCCCTAATGTCTGTCATATGTTGACAGAAGGATATATCCCTAATGTCTATCATATGTTGACAGAAGGATATATCCCTAATGTCTGTCATATGTAGACAGAAGGATATATATCCCTAATGTCTGTCATATGTAGAAAGAAAGATATATATACCTAATGTCTATCTTATGTAGACAGAAGGATATATCCCTAATGTCTATCATATGTTGACAGAAGGATATATCCCTAATGTCTGTCATATGTTGACAGAAGGATATATCCCTAATGTCTATCATATGTTGACAGAAGGATACACCCCAAATGTCTATCTTATGTAGACAGAAGGATATATCCCTAATGTCTATCATATGTAGACAGAAAGATATATCCCTAATGTCTATCATATGTTCCAAGTTTTGGTCTTTTTGTTACATTTATGTAGACAGATGATTAACAAACTTTACTAATCTGATCGCAATGTTCCTTTAAAGCCCCAATATATGTAAAAATCACTATAAAAAACAAACTTTATCTTATTTTCCAACAAAACAAAACAAATACTTTCCTTTAATTAAAGAAAATAAAACTGACTGTTTTCAATTTAAATAAAAATTGAAAAAATCGGAAAATAAACAATGTGGGACCCACAATAATTCATACATTACCGCTCGTAGCGATGACATTGCGCATGCGCATATTCCGCGTGTGTAAACATGGCAGACACAGCTAAGAAAAGATGACCTGTCGCTTCCTTTTTTTCCAATCATACATCAGGCCAGTTCTAGATTCTTACGTTATAA